GGACTGGCTCTGAAAGAGCTGTCTATTCAATGTTCACCCGGCGTTGCAAACAAGGTTATTGTGACGAAAATATTTGTATATATATTCGAGAAGGAGAAGGCGAGCACTGAGTGATAGTTTTTATTGTGACGCTTCGATGCAGACTAGGATTCGTTGTCAAACGATAATACGCGTGAATGAATTGGGTCTGCTTGTGCATCGCACTGTGGTTTGCGTCGCGCCTGTTTGTCCATCAATCCCGCGTTCATCATCGGTTGTACAATCGTTGCGTAATGTTTATCGATTTCCATGTGTTCATTGAATGAGTTGGTCGAAAGCAGCGCTTCAAGGATCAGACGTTCCCCCTTCCTCTTTGCCCTTGCCACTACTTTTGCGTCATTGATTCTGACCTCGTGACCTGTCGTTGCGCAGTGGTTCCAGAGGTGTGACTTCGGGTCGGCGCGTCGTAGTGCAAGTGTGTGTTCGTGTAGGCGAGTGCACAGTTGTTTGCCTATCTCTCCCACGTACCGTTGGTCGCAGTCTAGGCACGGAATCGCGTACGCCACCCCTGATTGGTCGTGTGGTTTTACATAGTCTTTGCCGTTGAACAGGATTGACCGCAGCATTGTTGTAGGTTTGTGGGCAATGGTGACACCCAGAGGGCGAAGGATGCAATCAACGGCTTCTGATACCCCACGTATGTATGGTAATAAGAGTTTCGTTTTCTTCTCTTCACCCTTCGGTTTTCTTCTTCCTCTAAGGTATGATTGGACGAAAATTTTGGGGCAGCCATTTGTGTGGAATTGATGGAACAAATGCATTCTTTCCTGATTCCGAAGTTCCTTTGTGCTGCAATGTGTGTCTGCACGGCGGAATAAAGTGTACACACAGCTTCTAAGGTGACATGGGGTGATTGCGTCATAGTTCAGCACCTGGTCTATCGTTGTGGGTTTTCTGTACACAGTGGTTTCTGTGTTTCCGTCTGGTTTTCTAATAACGAGGACGTCTAAGAAAGGAGCTTCATGTCGTTTTCCACCTCGCGGGTAAACGTTATCCCTGGCATAACACTGTTTAGGGTATCATGGAATTGTTCGATTCTTTCTGCCGGCAGCACCACAAAGGTGTCGTCCACATATCGAACCCAAAGGCGAGGGTGGTATTCTGCAAACGCCTTAGTTTCGAATTGTTTCATCACCGCATCAGCTAGTAGGCCGGATATTGGTTATCCCATTGGTGTTTTTTTTTTCACCTGTCGATATATCCTCCTGTCAAACTGTAGGTATGTTTCCATGCAGAATTCAAGCAGTTCCATGACGTCAGTCACTGATAGTGGTGTTC